CTTACACTGTCGGTTAATTTACTAGTAAAAGGTTATATATTTTGATTTTTGTCCCCAAAAAAGTTGTGAGGCAAATTAAGTAAAATTGAAATTTATATATGATGTGGATCATGCTGAGATAGACAATGGTAGGCCTTTTTTGAGGGATACGAAATATAAAGAAGAAAAGGGCAAGATTTTTATTTTAAAAATGTTCAAAGGGGAGATAACTCACAAGTTCTAAATTGTTGAGTTCTCCCCAACCAGAGACATATATACACAGAGATTGGCAACTCTGTGTGTATATATGTCTCTGCCCCAACATAGTAAACATTTGTGTATCAAAAATTAATATGAAGTTAACCTTTTAATGTATTATTTTCCAACTTTTGTGATTTGCTTTTTTATTTTTTGTTGTTTCTGTCCATCAGAAGAAATCAATTCACATTTTGTTTGGAGTATTTAAGATTTTACACAAAATTAAAGGGGATTAAAACTGTGATAGTCAGTTGAATATTTTAGTAATAGTAGAGTTGACAGTCAGAATAAAAGTATCATTATGAAATGAAGTTATGTATCATATAACTAAAAGTATGTGACCAACATAGGAAAATATTTCCACCTTAATCTCAATATCACGTAATATAATTATACACGAATACATGTACATGTGTTTCATTTATTTTTGTGGGTGTCAATTTTCATGGATTATGGTAATCTTGCATTTTCGTGGCTATTAAATTTCATGATTTTGACAAATTCTGCATACAACCTTATAGAAAATGTGTCACTCGTTGAACATCAAAATTCGTGGTTCACTAGTACCAATGAAATCCACGAAAAATTGGTATACAACGAATAATAATGAATACACAGTACCGTATTAATAGTACATGTATTCATTGGTACATTATTACAGTTTTTTCCTCACTATTGAAATGTGTGAAATTATTATTACAATGATCATTCTGATTGTAAAGCTTTTGGAAAAATGTTCTAGTGCATTCAATTGAATAATTGCTGACTAGATTTTCCTTAAGTTATTACATTTGTACTTAGTACATGTAGTATCTACATCAATGATATAATCATGGTAATAATAGTTCACACCTGTTGTTGTTTCCAGTAGATGCTATAGTGTTTTAATAATTAACATGATTAATTGAGATGATGAATCAACTATCCTTGACAGTTGAAGGGATGCTGATACATGTAATAGCTTATATCCACTTTATTTGAACACTGGTGGATGGTTCATACTGAACACTGGTGGATGGTTCATACCACATCTTCTTATTTTTATATTGTTGAAAATTGAAGCAAGGGATTTATTTTTTCCTAATTGCACAATTAGTATTAGATTGCAAAAATATCCATTTTAGTTGTACATGTACTTTAAATATTACAATATATAAATAAGAATGAAAGGAGTAGGTCCGGTAAGGGCTGATTTTGGCCTCAAAATTCAGGTTCATCTGATGAAAGATTTTGGACACTTTTTAAACACTTAAGTGTCTACTTCAGTCGATTCAATTAGTTTATGTGAAAGATTTGAACTGATATAGTCATTAAAGACACTCAAATTCAAGCTTAAATATGAAAAATCGATCAAATATGCCATAATATGTCACTTTTCAGATGGTTTTTGTCAAAAATGAAAGTGGCCGCATCCGTGTTCATTCTCAAGCTTTATATATGTTATGTGTTATCATCAAATACAACTTACATTTAAATATTAAGAATGAACACAAATGCGGCCACTTCCATTTAAGACCGAAACCGTCTAAAAATTAACCAAAATGCTAAAATTTCGAAGATTTCAGTAATTTAACATGACTTAAGGATGCTAGTACCCAATACATGTGCATTGTATTGTCAAAAACAGCCCAAATTTATGTAACAGAAGTATTCTTCTTTCCAATAAATAGCTAAAAATTTACATTTTAACAATTTTGTAAAACTGCTATATTTTGGGGCCAAAAAGGGGTCTTACTGGGCCTACTCCTTTATCAGTATAAAAGAATGTTGATGTGATTAGCCAACACAAGCTGTATAATCAAATGCTGAAACAGGTCCTACTTGTGAAATTTTTTTTTTGAAAATTTTGCAATTCTTTCATACCTGTCTCTAGAGAACTTACTTGTTTAAATGTTTCTGTAGAACTAAAACAAAGATTTAGAAGGATTTATGCCAGAATTTTTGGAAAAGGCACTAGACAAAATTGTATCAGGATTTTTCATCATTTTTTGCAAGATTTCTTAAGTTATATGACTGTCAATCAACCAGAGCTTAAAAAAACTCATCATCACTTATAACAACATTATATATATCGCTTTCTTCTTTAAATAACATTGTATTTCTATAAATAGGTAGAGTGCATTTTTTCAGAGGTACATAATTTGTGGAAACATCATACAATAAATCTCTTGCAGAGTTCTTTTTATTTACATTATTTCATTCATAAATATAAATTATTTTATGTACAGTACATGAAAAAGGTGGTTGAGTTATTGATTCACTCTAAATACCTCTCTGTATATTCAATAGATATATAGTATCAGGTTTCTAAAATATATTCTTGGTGTAAATAAAAAAGCCTCAAATTTGGCAGTGTTATCAGAGGTTGCAAGATTTTCTCTTTATTTTTCTGTCATTATATCTATGGTAAAATATGTACACAGGCTTAACAAATTGGACGATGGGTTACTTTATGATGCTTATGTTTGTAATAAAATTTTAGATGCAGGAAACATTAATTGTTGGTATTCATCTATGAGATATGTCCTTCAATCACTTGATATACAAAATTTGAATACAAAGCTCAATAAATTAATTAAATTTGTAAAATGTAAACTTTGTAACAGTTTTAAAACATTTTGGGTGGTCAAAAGATCTGATACCTTATCACGAGGTAATAGTAAATTAGAAAATTATTTCAACCTCAAGACTGACTTCGTAAAGGAGGCTTATTTATCAATTAAAGATTTTAATATAAGAAGAGCTATATGTAAATTGAGAATAAGTGCACATGATCTTAAAATTGAGAAAGATAGATATAGTAAAAAATACATAGAGAGAAGTCAGCGTCTATGTCATCACTGCCTATCACATGGATCAAATTCTATTGAAGATGAGACCCATTTCACAGTAAGTTGTCCTTTATATAACGAACAGAGAAAATTATTATGGGATAAAGTAAACAGTTTTTGTAATAATTTTAAAGAATTACCCAAGGATAAAAAATATTTCTGGCTATTCACAAATGAGCATTTACCAACTCTTATGTGCCTAGGCAATTATATAATTAAGTGTTTAGAAATAAGATCCAGGTGGATACAAAATATATAAAATAATATTTAATTATTATGAAATTATTGTTATAGTTATGTAAGACACATGATGTGTTAGGCTCTGATCCTGTCCATAATATGATAGTATTATATTAGGATCTAGTTTTTCTTTTTCCAATCATATTGTGCTTAATATTGTTGTAAATGATGCCCTTTATGGGTTCTTGATTAGATTAATAAAATTCTTATCTTATCTTATTCTTCTTATAGTATATGACAGGGTTGTAGGTCAGAGTGTTATCACTCTAAATACCTCTCTGTATATTCAATAGATATATACTGTAAATTCAGAATTTATTGCAAGGTTTTTATTAATGTGAATAATGCGACTGGGTGGGTATCACAATAATAAAAACTCGCGTTCTGATAACTAAAACATAGATCTGTACAATGCTGTATGCAGTTTTTTTCGAAATCGCAATAATTAAACTCGCATTTTTGTCCATTCTTGAAAAATCGCAATAATAAATGCACGGAATAATTTCTGAATTTACAGTAGTATATGACAGGGTTGTAGATCAGAGTGTTATCACTCTAAATCACCAGCGATCTCCCTATATAGACTTTTCTTACACATGATGAAAAAGGGATATGGACCCCAATGATACAAAGATACTGAAAGACTACCATTAAACAGTAGGCCGGTCGACACTTTTGCAATAAGTAAACCTGAAATTGCCTTGTATATTAAAGCTGTGAATATTTTATCTGAGACTATAAAATAAACTCTCATCAACATCAAAATTCAAGTCAGAAATATGATAGTTGTTTTCCTTTCGTTTGATGTGTTTTAACTTTTGATTTTGCCATTTGATAAAGGACTTTCCATTTTGAATTTTCCTTGGAGTTTGGTATTTTTGTTATTTTACTTTTTCCTGAATAAAAAAAACCTAAGATAAATGTAAAGACAACTACTAACAAGATTTGTGACTTGGGACAGACATATGTGGGAGGTAATTAACTTCCTTATTCTCTCCTAATTACTTGATTTGTGGAATGTAAAAAAAAAAGGTACTGAAACGAATATACAATACAAAAATAGTTCAGAAAATGGCTTGCACTTAAATGTATGCCAAAAACTGAAGAAAAAAATTAATGTGCATTATTATCAGGCACACTGCAACAGAGGAATACATTATGTAGGTTAAAAGGAAGTAAATATAGATGACGGGCACCACTTAGTTTTTACATCCAAAATAATACTGAAGTAAATTTATTTTCTGCTGCCCTGTTAATTAGAAAAGTAAATTGAAATAGGAATGTTGGCTATTGGTGTAGAAATAGCTAGAAATTTGATGGAAACATGTAAACTTTTTGTGATAAGCAAATTATTCTGTGCAAAATTTAGCATGAGGTGTTCTTCATTCATACTATTGCGAAAATTCCGGAACCATTGAGTACCCTTATAAATATTTCATTTATCTATCAAAAAAGCTGCGGCACCATATGTTTTTAGCAGTTTTATTCACACCCAAAGAAGTTGGAAATGCAGAATTTGACAGTTTTTTCAACAGATTTTTTATAGTGAAAACGCAGAACCAAAAAAGGCTACCATTTTTGCGTATGTAAATGATTACTTCATTGAAACCTATATGGTCACTACATATCATATACAACTGTTAAACACAGAGTTGATGTGATTTATTAACATGTTCTTTTGTTTATTTTTAGGCTTGTACATTAAACCATCAAAATGTCTGACACAGAAGAAGCCCCCTCACAGTAAGTACTGTTCACAAAGAGATACTTTCTCACATACAACAAGTTTACTTTTGCCCTTTTTATTTATGGGTTATTTTTGGGTGGGAAAAGTATATTGCCATAAATATTTGGGTATATTGAAGGTATTTACAGGAATCAAATGTTAATTTTTTGTCTTCTTTAAGAAAACATTTATATAATTAACTTTTAAAATATTGTGTGAAAAAAATTGATACACTTAGCTTATACAAAGCACTTTGTGAGCCATGTACATGCAAGTTAATAGATCTTGGAACTGAAGGAGAATACAAACAATCAATTAGGTTTTCCTATTCAGAAAAAAATGTTCTTCAAGGTCTGATTTGCGATAAAAACAGAATTTGCTTAAAATTTCATTTTAACCATGTTATCCAACACACATATATATAGATATATATATTATTAGATAATTATTTTATTAGTACGCAGATTTTTTCTTATGCATTTATTATTTGTTTTTATGTATCATGTATGTATAATATATAATATACAATCCTTCTTTTCCTGTTTTCCTTGTACAGTGAAGAAACTCAAGAATTGTAAGTGACAAAAATCCATAGTGCACCGAAATCTTCATATTTAGAGATCTTTTCCTTTATACATCTTCTTATCATGCATTGAATCTATCCTTTATCCATATTTAAACCAAAACTTGCCATTGAAGCTTTACCTATTATATTCCTTAAAAGGTGTTGAAATTTATTGTTATGTGTTCCCTTCTCCAGCATTAAATCTATCTTTTACCCATTTCAGAAATTTCCATTGAAGCTGCACCTGTTATTCCTTCAAAGATTTAGAAATCTTTCCTTTATCATTTCCATATCATGCATTACTCTTTCCCTTACTCATTTTAACGTAAATATTTCTTCTGAAGCCAAACCTATTCATAAACAATATGAGTTTCATTTCATAATCTTTCCATTGCTAGATATCTTTTAGTAATACACGTTAGATGTTGCTTCAATATGAATCAGTAAACTATACTCCATTGACCAATATTTTGTTCACAACAAAATTATATACTTTACAAGACATTAATGTCCATGAACTGTACACTATCAGGCATTTGTAACTTACTGTTTACACATCCAGAAGGTCTTTCATTAAAGGGTCATACCTGGTACTGTTATCTGTCTACACTACTAAAAAGAACCACCTGAATTGTAGAATTTTTTTATATAAGGCATTCTTGAAGTATATAGAACAGTGCTGCCTATAGATGGGAAAAATACCAGTCCACATGAATGCATCCCTGAGGGAAAGTTGACCTGAAACTTTTTTAAGAATACTTTTTGGGGCTTTTAGGTTTTTAATGGTTTTCAGTGTTTTGTGTATTTGGTTAGGTATACTTTTAGCCTTCAGTTCAGCCTTTACCCGATGAAGATGTATAAATAAAAGTAAGCGTGGACTGTAGGTCAATGAGATAGCATTGACCCAAGGACATCTGCATGTTTAGTCCAGAAACATGTCATGCATAGTAGAATCGGTATTGATCCATTTTATTACAGACATCATTATTTTAGCCAAGTTCAGTATTTCCATTCACAGCTTCAGAATCTTCATCATTCTGGGTAATAATTTTCAAAATGTTGTCACTGGCTCACAACCTCCTAAACAATGGAAATTCAACAACTGACATGAGGTTAATTTCATTTTGGGGTAGGAACAATGAAATTACCCATAGAAAATCAATCTAGAGTTCCCAAACCCTAAAGTCAGTCTAGAGGTCACAAACCTCAATATTTTAGAGGTCCTAAACCCTTAAATCAGTCAACAGGCTGCAAACAGTAAATTCAGTCCACATGTTGCAAACTCTAAAATCAGTCAACAGGCTGCAAACACTAAAATCAGTCAATAGGTCACAAACACTAAAATCAGTCAACAGGTTGCAAACACTAAAGTTAGTTTTGTGAACTGTTTAGAAAGCTATATAATTGCCTGTTACTAGATAAACCAGTCATTTCTAGAATACTGCTTGGGTGTTGTAGATTCAGAGCTGTTTCTGTGTGCTGCAAAAATATAAGGATTAAGGGTCACAACAATAAACTGGTTACCAGTACCAGTCATTGACTTGGTAAATAGTTTGACACAAACCCTGAAATCAGTCTTATTTATGGAGGAGACACTTTGAAAAAACGCATGATACATATTTCATTTGTTATGATAATGATGAAACTTTTACAAATAAATGAAATGGTTAGTCACTGTGTAATTTTTTTACATTTTCATTTGTTTCAACAACAAAATTACTTTGTTCTCTGTCAAATTTATTTCTTTTCACAATTTGTGATATTTCCTTAATCAATTGTAATACACATGTAGAATAAATGTTGTGTTGGTCAAAGTGGAGATAACTCTTAGAGATTTTAGTTAAGCTTTAGATGTAGTACAATATTTTGCTAGGTATATACTAATAAATGTAATGTACTAACTTTTAGTGAGACTCGCAGAGCCCCGTAAGTCTATAAAGTTGACAAATATCATCAAATATTGTTGGCAAACTGCTCCCCAACTCCTTCTTACAACAATGTTCTTTATTTAAGGGATAAGCAATGTTTTCAGTTATAATTCAATAACAATATGGTCCAACAAAGAATATAAAATTTTCTAGTTCCTTCTTTATATATCAAAAACCTGCTTTTTAATTAATTTTTAATTTTCTTAATACCATTAAAAAATCCAATAAGGTTGAGGTTTTGATCTGCAGTCATATATAATTTCTATATAAATATTGAAGGGCTTCCTGTCTGATATAAAATCATTAAAATGGACCAAAAAGCTTCAGATTTGCATATTCAGTATGGCAATGGCCTAATAATCCAATATTTTAATCAGTGCCATTTTCATAAAGGTTGATATTTAAATACTTTCCTCTCCCCAGTCAACTCCATGACATGAGAGCTGTTTGCCAATAGTATTTTATTCTTGCATTTAAAAGTTTGAAATGCAATATCTGAAATGCATTATGCAGTTTTGTATGAGGCACAGATTTAGTCAAATTATTGTATTTAATGACCTCCTCAAATATTTCAAGACATCTTTAATTTAGATTTAGGATATCCATAAATCATTGAGGATCTCCTCGAATAGGACAGGACCTCCGTGCTTCGATTTTAAGATATTCTGAAATTTTTCAAGACCTCCATAATTAAATATATGGATATTTTGAAATTGATTTCAGGATATCCTGAAATTGAATTGTGGAGGTCCTGAAATAATTCAAGATATCCTTAAATCTAATTATGGAGATCCTGAAATCAAATTATGGAGGTCCTGAAATATTTAGGAGCTCCATAAATACAAGAATTTTAACTAAATCAGTGCCTCATAGTTTTGAAATGTTGAAAGATTTTTAAAATTTTATATTGACGCATCTGATTTGTGAAAAAATGATGGATCAGGCCATGAATTAATTGCTTGTGTCTGTTGTAGGTAGAAATTGAAGTGTTTATATTGATAAGAAGTGTGATGTTGGGATTAGGGCTATTCCATTAAAATGTATGTGGGAGGGTAGGAAGGGACTTTCAAAATATCCCTACAACCAAGAACCATTTTTTAGATAATTTTGCATAATGGTAATAGACGCATACTGAAAAAAAGACCCATGACCCACATTCAATAATTAAACTTCCCTTCCTACCCTCCAACATACATTTTAATGGAATAGCCCTGAGTTTGAATAATTTCTGAGGCCACCCTTAATTCTTTACCTCTTTTCAAAGTTTTACTTTGAATATTCCAAAAGCAATTGGTGTTCTTGATACAGAAATAGATCTGATTTATTTCTATCACAGACACTTTTTATTAAATCTAGACGTTTTGTCTTACTTTTTCTGCTGAATTAATTAGATGGGGATGATAATTTTCATAGAATTTTGCTCTTTTTTGGACTTTGTGAAAAAAATGGTTGAGAATTTTGAATGTTTTCTTAACTATACATGCTCTTATGTGCTTAATATATTTTGTTACCAAATATATATATTGTTTACGGTATTGCGTATTGATTTAGAAGTTTAGAAAAGCATGACATGAAAAATTTTTTTTTTTTCGGTGTCTGTGTTAAGGGAGGTAACGAGTGTTTGACTGCTTAGCTAGAGATCACTTGCTCTGTACAATCCTTTGTTACAGCTATGGTTGACATAGACGTTGATATAAATCTTACCGACTCCCAAATCTTTATTTAATTTCATAAGATATACTTAAAACGTAGGTAGAGGTTCTTTCAGGACAAAATTCAGTTTTCAAGTTTTGTAAAGATTTTTGAATTTTTAGAATTGAAATATACACCAATATGAAGTTTCAGGACTTAGCTACGACTGACCATGCTGAACTCAATTTTGTGCTGATTTACCCAATGACATTTGCAAATTAATCACTTCTGGACAAAGACATCACGCATTTTCTGTAGTGATGTTGAAAAATTTCAGGAAAATTTTTTCTAATTTTCTAATTTTGCTAACCAATGTTGAAACTGAAAAGGTAAATTACAACAGTTTTTTTAACAGGTCTTTCAATGAATCTTAGCTCTTTCTTGTTTATATCTTTCTTTTTTCTTTAGAGCTGCATGCATTTTGTCTTTTTATGTGATATTTGCATTTGTTCAATTATACATGTTATATGCATAAATATTTTTTGCATATTTTGCTAAACATGTTTTAGTAATTCATTAAACTCTCGTTAAATTTACTCTTTATTAACTGAAATTAGCAAAAGGTAGCTTACATGTAATATCATTTTCTGTTTGCTTATTCTTAGCTAAATAATAGTTGCTACTAGAAATTTGTAATAATTGATAGGCAAACCTGTAGCAAATCGTATTGCTTTGACAGTTAAATAGTCAGTTGCTTATAAACACTTAGCTTGATTATAGTTTCACTAGCATTTTGTTATCATTTCTTACATAATATTATTATTAAGTATTTTTTATGACATTTTTTTACTTCATTTATAAGACTTTCATGTTCAGCATTTGTGTTTTGAAATAATTTTATTTTTGTCTTTTTTTTTCAGACCTGAAAATGAAGCTAAGCTAGCTATGGAGGTAATTTTTGACAACATCATAAAACTGTGTATGGTAGAAATAAGTGCATCTGTGGTAGCCTGCTTGCCCAAGGTGTAGGAAGTTGGGGTCCAATCTCCAGCCAGGTCAAACCAAAGACTTAAAATTCCTCTTTCTGCTAATCTGTGTTTTCTGAATCTTTAAAATACTAAGGAACCGTACATGTTATAAAAATACAGCTACATTGACAACAACACTTAAGTAAACTGCATCTTTTATTGTCGACATGTTTCTAATCGGCGTCATCAGGACCATGTTATAAAAATGTATTTGTACACAACACATGTATAAGAAAAAAAAAACTGCTGTTCTGATATGATTTATTTTTTGTCAGAAATTTAGTGAAGAGTCCAGATACATGTACAATGTTCATATCCACTTCCACACAGAATTATTTTTTACACACTGCAAATATGAGTTTCAAGCAATAATTGAGTAAATTGAAATCTTAACTCTATAGAGAGTGGAGAAATTGTTAAATGTTGAACTAGCAGAGGGCGAATTTGGTTATCCCGTATGTTTTTCAGTCTTTTTTTGTGTAAAACTACATGTTCAGTTAGAACAAAAATAATGCTATAGCCGACAATGCCACCATTATGTAATGGCATTATTTATTAGCTACAAATAACAACTGAAATGGCAGGTTTATATTAACAAGACAATTTTACCCATGTTGTTTTATTGAGCATTGGATAAAAATTCAACCAACTGATGAGATATTATAGCAGTGAAATCATAAGAAATATCAATATTTTCATTTACAGGAAGCAAAGGTCAGGAAAGCTGAAAGAATCCAACAGGAAATCGCAGAATTTGAAGAACAAAGAAAAGAAGAAAAAGCAAAGGAAGAGGAAGAGTTGCAACAATTACGGGAAAGAAGGGTAGATAACTCTTTATAGATCCTTTGATTCATAACTGTCCATTCTTAGCTTTGGTTACATATTACTTACACACATTGTTTTATGGAATAATTTGATGTCTTGAACTTTACACCTTGTAAGTGATTTTACTGATCTGGAAGGCATTCACTTCCTTTTTGATGGGGATCCCGCTTATTGTTTTGTCAGAATCCTGTATCCCGCTTATCATTATAATAATAGCGCTTGTAATTTCACTACTCCCGCCCTATATCAGTACCATTATCTTTACTTAGTTTTCTTTGGAAGTGTTCTTATTATGTGTGTTCATAATAGACAGTACGATGTTTTTAAATTGTAGGAACAAAGAAAAATAGAGCGAGCAGAAGAGGAAGAAAGATTAACTAAACTTAGAATGGAAGAAGATGTTAGAAGAAGACAGGAAGAAGTAAGTCTTTTTCTCTTCTATTCCTCCTTTTTATACGACCGCAAAAATTAAAAATTTTTTGGTCGTATATTGGTATGACGTTGGCGTCGTCGTCGTCCGAAGACACATTGGTTTTCGCACTCTAACTTTAGTTTAAGTGAATGGATCTCCATGAAATTTTACCATAAGGTTCAATACCACGAAAGGAAGGTTGGGATTGATTTTGGGGGTTATGGTACCAACAGTTAAGGAATTAAGGGCCAAAAATAAGCATTTTTGTAACTTCAAGACAATGACTTGTGTGTAAGTGTATGGATCTCTCTGACATTGTACCACAAGGTTCCATATCACAAAGGGAAGGCTGTAATTGATTTTGGGGGTAATTCCTCAAAATTTTAGGAATTAGGGGCCAAAAAAGGGGCAAAAAACAAGCATTTTTCTAGTTTCATGACAATAACTTGTGTGTAAGTGTTTGGATATTTCTGAAATTGTACTACAAGGTTCCATATCACAAAGGGAAAGCTGGAATTGAGTTTGGGGGTAATTGCCGAAACGTTTAGGAATTGGGGGCCAAAAAGGGGCCAAAAATAAGCATTTTTCTAGTTTCCAGACAATAACTTGTGTTCAAGTGTATGGATCTCTCTGAAATTGTACTGCAAGGTACCATACCACAAAGGGAAGGCTGGGATTGAGTTTGGGGGTGATGAATCATAAGGGGGTTCAAAAAATGGGGGGGGGGATTTTTTTTTTTTTTTTTTCTTTTTTTCCTTTTTTTTTCTTTTAAAATTTTCCATTTTAAGTTGGTTATTTCTGATTTATATTTAAAAGCAAATAATAATGATATGGTAGGAGATACACACCAAACAGGATGTGTAAAGTATTATATAATAAGTATTGTGCAATAGCAAGAAATTTTCAATTGCACAGTATTGCACAATAGCAAGAAATCTTCAATTGCACAGTATTGCGCAATAGCAAGAAATATCCAATAGCACAATATTGCGCAATAGCAAGAAATTGTCAATTGTACAGTATTGCGCAATAGCAAGAAATATTCAATTGCACAGTATTGTGCAAAAGAAGATACTTCGTATAAATTGCTTATTTCTTGATCAATTTCAATGGGGTTTTATTCTTGAATTCTTGGGGTTCTTTAATATGCTGAATCTAACCGTGTATTAAGTTTTTGGATTTTGGGCCCTGTTTTTAAATTGATCTAACTGTGTATTTAGATTCTTAATTTTTGGTTCCGTTTTCAAATTGGTCTACATTAAGGTCCAAAGGGTCCAAAATTAAACTTAGTTTGATTTTAACAAAAATTGTATTTTTAGGGTTCTATGATATGCTGAATCTAAACATGTATTTAGATTTTTGATTATGGGCCCAGTTTTCAAGTTGGTCCAAATCGGGGTCCAAAATTAAACTTTGTTTGATTTCAACAAAAATTGAATATATGGGGTTCTTTGATATGCTGAATCTAACCATGTATTTAGATTTTTGATTTTTGGGCCCCGTTATCAACTTTGTCCACATTGAGGTCAAAAGAGTCCAAAATTAAAATTTGTTTGATTTCATCAAAAATTGAATTCTTGGGGTCCTTTGATATGCTGAATCTAACCATGTATTTAGATTTTGGATATTGGACCATAATAGGTGAATGTCCAATTTAAAATTTTTAAGTTCTTAGACCACATTCATTCTGTGTCAGAAACCTATGCTGTGTCAAATATTTAATCACAATCCAAATTCAGAGCTGTATCAAGCTTGAATGTTGTGTCCATACTTGCCCCAACTGTTCAGGGTTCGACCTCTGCGGTCGTATCAAGCTGCGCCCTGCGGAGCATTTTATTTTACTTGTGATTATAAGGTGAAGTCCATTTGAACTGTATAAATCTTCAAAAATAAATTATTAAAAATCCAAATTTCATATGTGGTATCTGATTTTATTTCTAAATTGATATCAAATCTTTTTCTCATTGAACTCTTTGACAACATAAAGTTCGAAGAACCTTATTAACAAAATATCATTAGACCCTATGGACTATTTTTACTTCTGAAGCAATAATTCTTAAATCAATTGTCAGAGTAGATATATATGCACTGCAAAATAAGTTACTTAATTGAGTAATTTGATTTTTGTCTGGCCTGCTTTTCTGGCGTCGGTGTCAACAATTGTTAATTTTTCATCTTAAGTTAGTTTGATAGGAACCAGTTGTGATAGATGAATGATATTTAATCTAAAGTTAGTTACATTACTATCAGTGTATATCAGTTTGACAACTATTTCAAGGCCCTGCCCTCTAGGTCATGATGCAGTGACTTTGAAATTAGCAATTTTCATTGTTAAGTTTTCTGCTAAAGTCAGTTTGATAGGAACATGGAAGTAATATATTGACAGGAACTCCAACGAAAAATTAGCACATTCCCATCCCACTGATTTCTTTAAGAAAATAAAAGGTTCCGACTCAGTTTGTCAAGTACGTGATAACTCCTTTGTGGGGTATCTGTGATGCCGCCTTCGCCTGTTCTTTTAACTTTAGCTGGTCTTATCACGTGATTTGGTATCGATTGTCTTATCTACCTACCAATGTAAATAAACACGGAAACTCCCGTGGTTATTTGTGAATCGCCACATGAATAACAACACCTGTTTCCGTTCAATAAATGAAGAACAAAGCTGAAAAGATCGAAAAAATCGGTCCATAGTTAACAGAATGACATAAGAAAATTAACTGCATTCGGAAAGAGGGCAAGCTTATTTTTAGTTTTGTTGAGTATGTTTTAATCATTGGAACTTGGAAATCGGGAAATATCCGATTAGGAAAATTACATGATTCTGAAGTAGAGTGTTTGCAAAAAATAATGTGATGCGCGTGTAGTGTGCCGGATGGTGCCGGATAACTCAAATTTTAAGTTAAAGATTGTAAACTTTTATCGAGTGTAACACAAATATTTATGGTTTTCTCTATCGTAAAATATCGTAAAATGTTATTAACTTATTTATCAAATATGTTTTAAAGACTAAAAGAGGTTAATAATTACACGCATGTGATGACCTCTACATAGCAATATCAGGTTACGAGACATGCAGATGAATTGTTACACCTTTTATAATAATTCCAAAGTTGTAAACAACCTTAAACATTCAACCTAGTCCGAGATTACTCTGACGTCTGACAGATTTATTTTTACGAATGGCTTTAAATATTTCTGGATGCATTTAAAGAACGATCACCATGATGGGCCCTAAGCAGTTTATTTTTTTTTTATCATGGAAACCAAATTAGAATTTATTTATGTGTTTAAAAGCTTAACAGTTCTGAAACATCTTACACCGTGTGCTAAGCAATTTATGATTTTGTTTCTTGTTTAATTGCATGAAATATTTGCCATTGGACTTTCAGTAAACAATAAATCAAAATATTTGATATTTTTTCGGATCAAAGCTCTTTAACCCCGCCCCCCCCCGGCCAACTTTTGGATTAAATTTTTGTTGGAAATTTTTTCATTAAACACTTCAGTAAAATATTTGTCAAAGTTAGCAGTAAAACGCGATAATAATTACTGATAAAAACTTTTCCGTTTACTTTACATGAGAATTTTATGATTTTCAAGCATAACTTGTATATAACAGTTACGCGTGTTTAGCCAACGGCACTCTCATGAATAAATCTTACTATTTTAAAATTGATTGTAACTTAAACTGAAATGTTTATGGCTTGTGAGTATTTTTACTCTTCAGTTTTTTTTTTTGTCTTTTTAATCGGTGAAAACAGTCGCGGGGATTTCGTTTCGTTTCTTTTCTTTTTATTTGTTTTTAAGCAGCAAAACCCGTAAAAACTGACATTATATTTGTCATTCACATGGTCGGTAAATGTCATTTCCTTGACAATTAAGTACACATCCGGTTATTTCGGTATGTTCCGAAATTACGATCATTCACGAGGTTCCAAAAATTTTATCGGAACCCATGCATCCATAAGACAGTCGAGTTGATTAACAGATACTTAACGATTTTGCGGCATCGCACTATAAACGTTTGAAGTCCGCTTGTTGGAGTTCCTGTCAATATAATACTTCCATGATAGGAACTACTTGCGATAGATCAATGATATGTTCTTTAAAGTAGCATTACTATCAGTACATATCAGTTTGATGACTATTTTGAGGCTCTGTCTCAGTAGGTAATGGTTCAGTGACTTTCAATTAATTTGCCATTTTCAATGTTAAGTTTTCTGCTTAAGTTAGTTTGAAAAGAACTACTTATAGTAGACAATGATATTTTCTATGAAATTACATTACTATCAGTATATCTCGGTTTGACAATCATTTTGACGCTCTGCCCTCTATGTCATGGTCCAGCAACTTCAAATTAATTAGCAATGTTGCTGACCATCAGATTATTTTTTTTTCTAAATTTTCTGCTGACAGGCAAAACATATCTCTGTGTCCGAAATTTATTAAATAGTTTATTTTTGAAAATTTTTAGAACTCAAAGAGTCATGTGACTGGCAAAGGACATTAGCTTTGATCAATTTACTTAAAATTGTGCAATGTTGTTGGGATTAATAAAAGAAAGCTTTCTCTCAATTTTGAAAATTTTTGGGCTGTTTTTTCAGTAAAAGGATGTGGCTTTGCTCATTGTTGAAGGCCGTACAGTGACCTATACTGTAGATTCGTGGGATACCAATTTTTGTGGATTCCTTGGGTAAAGGTAAACCATGAATTTAAACGTTCAACTATTTACAAATTTTCTTTTGGTTTGTATGCAGACTTTGGCAAAACCACGAAATTAAATATCCACGAAAATGCAAGATCTCCTCAATCCACGAAAATTGATACCCACGAAAATAAATAAATCCACAGTAGTTGTTAATTTCTGTGTCTTTTCGTCTCTTATGGAGAGTTGTCTCATTGTCAATCATACAACATCTTCTTATTTTTCTGTCTGATTTAAGGCACTTTTTCATGTATGACACACTTACTAGAGTATGCTTAGATTAATTAACTCTAAGCTGTTATTGGGATTGATTAAAGGAAACTTTTACTTTGATATTTTTCTGGTTTGTCGTTCTAGATTGACAGGTCTTTAACTGTCAGAAAGAATCCTCATTTTGTTTGAATTGAATGAAAAAGTGGCTGCCAGTAGGCAATCTTTTATTCTGATCGACAATTTATGAAAACCCTCTTCTCTATTACTACAAGGCAAAATGTTTTGAAACATTTTGGGAATAATTATTTGGGTCCCTTCTTTATTAAAATCCTTATTTTTTCCATTTTAGAGAGAAAGACAAGCAAGAAAGTTGGAAGAAGAACAGAAAAGAAAAGAAGAGCGAGAGAGAAGAAGGAAAGAACAAGAAGATAGATTGAAATTATGCAGACGGCCAAATTTTGTTATCACAAAGAAAGCTGATGGTGGAGAAGAAGAGGTATGAGTTGATATAACATACGGATGAATTGTGGGATAGTAATGAGAGGCATGATGGGAAATTAGAACACTCAGATAAATTTGGGATAATAAAGAGAATAATGATGGGAAATTATTACAAGCAGATAAATAGTGGGATAATAATAAGAGGCATGATGGGAAATTATTACATACAGATGAATCATGGGATAGGGTACAGAGGTGTGATAGGAAATTGTTTCAGACAGATGAATTGTGGGATAGGGTGCAGAGGTAACACCTCTAAATGAAAGACTGGAGTCAGCAATGTAAAAAAAAATAATAAAAGCTCTTGTTTAACATAAATTGCTTGGAGGGCACAGAGCATCAGACTATATGTACATGTTCTTGACACGATATTCTACAAATATTGATTGATGCATGTATAATAATGTAGCTTAGACCATCTTGCTTTAATATAAATTATTTTTTCAAGTCACTTGCACATTGTTATTGTAGTTTACTGTATGTACCTTGTTCTGTAAATAAACACATGTTGATTATCTATTGAATTTCAGAGAAGACGAAAGGTATGGTTTCTGCTTTGCAAATTTTGAAATTCCTACTGTCAATTTCCCATTGTTTGCAAGTTTTAATCCTCACACAAAAAAACAGAAGTTCATTCATTAAAATTTTTTTGCATCAGGCTGTTCAAGAAAAGTTTTCATTTCTCACTTTTATTATTGTTATCTATTTAAAATTTATTGGCAAGTTTCAGTTTTAGAATTGCTGTCATCTCTCAAAAAACGAAAAAGAAAATTAATTTTGCCTATCAATGCACATGCAGATGAAAATCTGAATAATGCTAGCTAGCTGGCATGCTATTGACATTTATAACTTGAAATTAAATTATTCAAACAAAATTGGTTATTAAAAAAAATATATAGCAACAGCTACCAAAAGAGTAAGAAATGAAATAATTTTTGCTTGGCCTTCACTAAGATTAAAATAGATAAATTGTCATTTTTCAGCTTTTTAATATGATTGTATACTTTTCATGTTTGAAATGTAGTTTATTGGTATTTAATTAAGGTGCTTTTTAGAGTAGTCTTTAACTACTAATTTTCTCAAAAAATGTCATTGTGCATCAGTTAACAGAAACCACTTATTTCAAGAAAAAAGGCATTAAAGATAAGGATGAAAAATGACAAATTTTAATTGTTTTGGTCTGTATTTTTCAGTATGCATTTTACAGTTTTAAGATATTTTATACCTAAATTTTGTAAATTGGAATTAAACAAAATTTTGCTTGTAAAAATGTCATCTTAGTCAATCAAATTACTTTTGAAATATATTATACTTTGACTAATTTAGAAAAAAATCATAGCAATCCTACCTCACTTTCAGATATTTAGTTGTACAAAAAGATGTAAATACTATTGTAGAAATTCCAGTTTACAAATATCTGAACAAATGAATTACTTATTTCATCCAAATATCTTTAAAGGAAAAAATTTGCACTACAAATGCACCTAGTTTTTTTCCAAGTTAAATATGCACTAGTCTGAAAACAAAATGCACTCCTGTGTGCCATGATTCTTGAACCCTTGGCATTTGCTATCAGTTTTCATTGGTTATTTCCTACCAATCATATTCTTCCATACATGCCAACATCTATGTTTTAGGATATTTTACTTTTGTTTCATTCTTATGGCTCTTATAAAGTATATTCATATTATTTTAACATGTCTTTCTTCATGCAAAATTTTTTTTTTAAATGTAATTTCATTGCATAAATCATTGCATAAATGTTTCATAAGGATTCAATCATTTTTGATTGGCAGACACCAATCACATGACTACAATGTAGCCTTTTTGTGCTAAGGTGGTGATTTAAGTAAAAAAGCAATCAATCAGTCATAAAATCAATCACATGGTGTTTAAAATTAATGTAGTAAGAAACGCTTCAACAATTCATACAAAATGAGCTTCAGGTAATGTGGACCCTTTGGATAAAATTGCTTCGTTTTCACCTCAAAATTTACACTGAGTGCAGAGAAATCTGTGTATCTGGAAACGTTTTAAGGCACAGCATTCCCTAGATAAATATAGTTCAAATGCATTTTATGTTTTAGAAAATTACAAAATTAACTGGATTTTGCTGTGAACTTTTTTCCGTCCCTGCAGAAGATGATAAAATTAACAAACAGTTGAGTTTCACTTGGTATGGTCCACTCAGATACACAGTTTAAATAACAAATTATTGTCAGGTATCTATTGTCCATATCAATCAATACAGTTCACTTCAATTTTATCTATGGGGAAGTTCTCAAACCTCTTTCCAACTTTGTCTTTTTTGGGAGCACCTTCTGCAGGAATGAAAAAAGTAGATAGCAAAATCCAGTTAAGTTTTTGATTTTCTGAAACATAAAATGCATTTTAATTGTATTTATCCAGGGCATGCTATGCCTTGAAACTTTTCCAGATGTACAGGTATATCTGCACTCAGTGTAAGTGTTGTGGTGTAAACACAGCCATTTTAACCAAAGGGTCCACATGAACCATCAATTGATGCTTGTACTTATCTTATTTACCCAGCTTCAGGTTGTAAAAAAATTAACACATTTTTTAAAAACGTTTATATTTTATCATGAAAAAAGCATTATTATGTGAATATGAAGAGATCTAATCCCCCTTTTTTATGCAATGAATTTTGAAATAAGATATGGGTAAAAAGATCTTATAAAATGCTTTTAAAAATAAAGATAAATTGTGACTTGGACGGAGAGTTGTCTCATTGACACTCATACCACATTTTCTTATATCTATAAAAAAAATTAGATCACCATATTTCTGAGTTATCTCCCCTTATAAGGCTAAGTTTTACATTTATGGAATCAATCATAACTATTCAGTATTTTCAATAACAGTCAAAATAATAAGATAAAATCACATAAGTTTGTTCATTTTAATGAAGTCTTACAAATGAATTGCATTCCTACCTCAAAATTTTCGTATTTTATTTTATTTTATTAAAAATTTAGTCATATCATTTTCTGCTATTTCTTAATTCAAGATGGAGGAAGACCCCCATAATACTTTAATAACAGACTGTGTGAGACCCTTGTTGGTAGTCAAGCTTGTTAAATTACTTCTGTAATGGTATACTTAACTACCTCATAGGGGATTTTGTAAAATTACTTCAACCAGGGAAGTTGAATACAAGAAGTACATTGTTCGGACAGTGTATGTACAAAAAATGTAGTTCAATACAGTTGTTTTCAAAAAGATGAGACAAAGTGTACCTTTAATAAGAATCTTTAAGAATAAGTTATTAACAAAAGCTATTATATGAAGTTTTCTTGCATTTTGTGAAACAGTTTTTCTAAAATTTGAATATTGAATTTACAGTAGAAGTAGAAAAGGCTAGTCAGGGTTATTCCACAAATGATTTTTAGGCTTTATAGTGGGCTCCTCTGTTTAAATTTCATGTTTAATAATGCAATGTTTTGGTATTTTCTTTATGATGATATAGCAAAAAACATTCCCTGGAATAATGCTTTAGTTGTAATTGATAATATTTTGATCCCTCCAAAGCCTTCCTTGAGATACCTACATTTTATTTCTAAATTTATAAATGAAACAGCCATAGAAGTGATTGAAATATAAAATAGTTTGTAAACATTACAAAGATCATTGTACAGAATGTACTAATTATTCAGACTTGCACAAATTTGGGAAATTTGTTTTAAGAAAATATCAACATTTCCAGTTGGAAATGAAATAGTCCATGAAACATTGAGAATGTTTTCCAAAGGACCCACTGAAAAAATCAGTATTAAGGTTAACCTTTTAAGCATTGCTATTTTAAACCTGCACATTCATTTTTGGAATAACCTCTCGTTCTATGCTTGTCGTTCTGATCATGTGATTCTTTCACATGTTTTAAGTTACGATGAAAGAAAAAACATAACTGATTTTTATTAACAAAATCTTCATTCTTACAGCAAAGTTAATCTTTATCACATTTATCTTCCAAAAAATGTGCCCTGAACATAGTACATTTGTCCATAAAAAATTTCTGCTTAATCATCATTTTGGGAAAATTACTACTTTTTGTGACATGAAAATCAATATCATTCATATTCAAAAGGCAATTTTTCAGTAAGACAAAATATTATATGAATGGAGAAAATAAATTACTTGCCCCATGACCTAATTGCTAGGGGTGGTGTAGCTGAGATTCCTGGAACTTGTTTTATCTGGCCTTGCACATCAAAGTTAGTTGGGTTTTTTTCTGAAATATTCTACTTTTGTATTCCTCTTGTAAGACTGACAATCATGGAACATTTTATATGATTCTAAAAAATCTGTCAATCACACGCGCCATGAATAAGTTGCAGATATTTTAATCCTTTTTTAACAGTACTTCTTTAAAATATGCTATGTTTATTTCATTTTAAGCAATTTGAAATTCATAGACTTTGAATTTTGAAGGAGGTAAATATTTACCAGTCAGACAGGTACTGTGTCCCATTACTGTTTTTATCAATTATAACTTTTATGTTTCCAGGCTGAACAGAAGGCAGAGGACTTGCAGAAATCTAAGGAACAATTAGAAGAGGAAAAACGTGCCATTTTAGCTCAAAGAATTCAGGAATTAAAACTTGATGGACTCAAATCTGATGGCTTGATTCAAAAAGCTAAAGAACTTCACGAACACCTTCACAAATTAATGGGTGAACAATATGACTTAGAAGATAAATTCAAACGTCAACAATATGATGTAAGTTATCAGGACAGTCAGTCCTCTGGAGCCTTAGTGCTTTGTGTTCTAGGCTGTTGGCTCACATCAGTCTATGCAGATTTATAGACAAGGGGGTTTCATTTACTTGGCAAATGGCTGTGGTTTACCTCAGACGTTCGCTAAGAGGGAAATTATATGGTTGGATGCCATTTACTCTGGATTCATTTTTATTTTTCATAGATTTTGTCGGTAAAGGTGAACCAAAAATTTGAATGTTCAACAAAAGAACAAATCTGTGTATGCTTGTGTGCAGATGTCTTGAAAACTGTGATGTCAAGAATCCACGAAAATACAATTTTTCCTGAATTAATGAAAATATTTCAATCCTCTTCTCTATCTACTATAGTACATACAACATAGTGCAGTGGGATCAAAATTTCTGTAGATCCTATACATGTCCATGTCAAGCAATGTATTAATAATATATATACTCAGATATTCAAGTTACAAGATGATGTGTATGTGTTTAACCATACATGTCAAGAAAACTGTTTTATTTTAAAAAATATTACAAAAGTTACAGAAAGTAGTGCATCGCATATAACCTACAAATATGGACAAAAGAAGATAACTCAATTAAAAACATTGCCTTAATATGTTCATTTGCTTAATACAATTCAATGCAATGTTTGATTTTAAGTCTTCTTTGCAAAATGAAAGCGATCTTTACCCTCCATACTCACAAGTGCTTTGATTCAGACAGTGTATCTGGTATCCTCTTGTATTACTAATAGATTTTCTTTTTATCCTGTAATCTGTTGTTACTCAGTCATACTGTGGGGAATATGGCCAAAGTCTCTCTCCTTGTGTCTTCGTCCAACCATTCGAAACAAGTGAATGTTTGACAGACAGCCATCATACTTGGTAGGAATCTTTATCCTCATATTTTCTTGACTACTCTATATTGTCAGTTTGATTGGAAAATTTTTACAGGAGTTATTGGACCAATTTCTTTTAGTATTGTTACAATGACACATTGTGAAAGCAACTTCTCTGCAACAGAAAGCTCCACTGACCAGACCTGAGCCATTAATTATAAGAAGAAAACAGTAGGATACTTTGATTGCTCAATATATATATGTCTTATCTTTTTCATGGATTTTACTGTAAGATAACTAAATTTCCACATTAGATTATAGACCATTTAAAAAAAATATAGTTTCTATTGGTATTGAATGAAAGGTGGATAAATATAAATGCTACTTTCCCTGTTATCAAATATAATCTTCCATTGAAATGCCATCTCATTGATAAATATATATTCTTACATTGGTACCTGTGGATTATCAGATTTATCCAATCAAGTTAGTTAAATAATGGAATCTTAAAATCCGAGCCAAGGCAAGGACTTTAAAATTTGATTATTTAACTATCGAGATTGGATAAATCCTATAATCCCCAAGAAACTATGCAAGTCAATTGCTCTAACATCTGTTAGCACATTTCGATTCATTCAGAGATCTGCTGACCTTTTAACTTAGCCAATCATCTACTGATATCATTGGAAACCACACGTAGATTTATTATGACCCCGCCATAGTGGAGGGGGCATTCAGTTTTACCCTTGTTTGTCTGTACGTCCCATAGTTGGTTTCCGTTCACTATCTTTAGTTTGCCTCAAGCAAATGTTATGAAACTTATACACAATGCTTATTACCACAAAACACAGATCAAGTTTGAATTTTGGTGGTGTCACTTTTACCGTTCTAGAGTTATGACCCTTTACAAATGGAAAAATTGCTAAAATATTCGTTTCCGTTCTCTAACTTTAGGTTGCCTCAACCAAATGTTATGAAATTTATGCACAATGCTAATTACCACAAAACAGAGATCAAGTTTGAATTTTGGTGGTGTCACTTTTACCGTTCTAGAGTTATGCCCCTTTACAAATGGAAAAATTACTGAATTTTTCGTTTCCGTTCTCTAACTTAAGTTTGCCTCAACTAAATGTTATGAAACTTATAAACAATGCTTATTACCACAAAACTCAGATCAAGTTCAAATTTGGGTATCGTTACTTTTACAGTTCTTGAGTTATGTCCCTTTATAACATATGCAAGCGGGGGCATCATCTGTGTCCCATGGACACATTCCCCATTTATTTTTAAACAATGGGTCCAGAAAGGGTTATATTGCCAGAGAATTAGAGAAACAGTTATAAGAACTGTTCACAAGTTTTATCTACTATTGGTCAACCCTGTGTTTTTGTTTACAAAACTCATTGGCATCAATAGTCATTGTAAGTAAAGCAAATTGGATATTTAATTTCTTCTATATATAGGTCAAGTACATGAATTATTAAAAAATGTTGAAAGTGAAATTTTGGTCAAATATTTTAACTTTTTTATTGTGCTATCTTAAATATGAAGAATATAATATTTAATAAAGCATTTATTTTTTCAGATGATAGAATTAACTGAGAGAGCTAGATCAATGAACAAAGGAAGGTGAGTAGTAAAGGGGAAATAACTCTTGCACCAAAATAATGTTCTTTTGAAATTTGTGATGAAGACCCCAGATTTTTTACTGGATTCCAAGATGTACAACTATTTGACTGTGAAAGTTTTAAACTGGATTCCTAGAATGTCCATCTCCTTTACTGTGCCTTAGTTAATTTAATCAACTTGGTTTCATAATAGCACTCAGGAATGATTTCATATGAAGCCTCATTTATTATGGTTATACCTTCGGACATCAAAATATTTTGTTTATGCCCGGCCGTAGTAAGATAGAAGAGGGGTATAATGTTTTCCTGTCTGTCCATCCTGTTTTACTTTATAATTTGGTTAAAGGTAGTTTATGGTCATGTCAACTTAAAATTTATGACTCATTTTCATTATGATGTGAACTATGAATATATATGCCAAATTAAGTTTTTGACCCAAATTTCACCATTCTCTACAACTGGAAATATAACTGTGGGAGCAGGGCATGGTGTCCTATTGACACTTGTTTCTTTTTGCTTCATTTTAATATTAAATTGTCCAAAATTTACTGTTATTAGCCCCAAATGGATTTATCTTGATTTCTTAAAAAGAAATGACTACTTTTTCCATAGGATATTTATCATGCATAATTATGAAGGATTTAATTGTAGTAATAATGGTAGGAAAATCTAAAGGTTGGTTGTATCAAAACTTTTCAGACATTCAGTCATAAGAAAAAATTGAAATTAAGAACTTTTTATAAAGGATTACTGTTAATTCAGAAATTATTGCATGCACTTATTGTTGCAATTTTTGAAGAATGGACAGAAATGCGAGATTAATTATTGTGATTTCAGGAAAATCTGCATATAGATATATGTATCAGATACCAGAATGCGAGTTCTTATTATTGCAATACTCACCAATTCACATAATTCGCATTAATGAAAACCTCGCAATTTCTAAATTTACAGTATATGTAAAAATGGAAATGAGGAACCTATTTTTAAAGGATTTGATTATAAGAAAAAACAGAATTAAGGACTTTTTTCAAAGGGATTTCTATTTTTTTGTTTTACTGTGTGTGTTACAAATATGATTTAGATTTAATACTAAGGTTCTTTTCTTCATGGTACATATTTTCCTTTTTCAGAGGCAACAGAAGTACAATGGGAGTTAAGATAGATGAATCGTAAGTTTTTAAACAGATTTATTAAATTAAAGAATGGTGAAAAGATAATGTGCTTTGAAACAGAGACTGAATGATCAATATGAATTTGTTCCTTTTAGTTACTATTTTTGCAGATTTAGATTCATGTATACAAAATACTGCTGTTACCAGGCATGTGACAAGTTGCTTGCTGCAAAAGTAGAATAACAAAGAGGATCAGATTATTGTTTGTTCAAAAAGTGGCCCTCTTCATTTCATTAATTGAAACGTGAGGAAAATAATTATATGGTGCATTTTGCTGACTTATTACACCTCTAACTGAAAAGAAACAAACCATTTATATACCACCTGAGGTTTTATTGTACATTTTACATCAAACTTAAAAAAGTATTTTTATTTTGTAGATTTGACAGACTTGCAGATAAATTTATTAATGCTCCAGTAAGTAGTTTAATTTGTTGAAAATATCAAATAAAATTTTTTAGTAGAGGTCGAATCCGATTCTATGAAATAAAAAGTTTATGAATAGAGGTTGAATCCTATTTTATGGAAGTATCAGGGAATATGTAACCATAAAAGGTAAATGAAACGACAGAATTAAAGAGAGGATACTTTGTTTTCAGTATCTTTATGCCAGTGTTTTGTTATAATAGAAATAAGAAACTGCCTTGGAGGGCTCATGTTTAAATGGTGAGAATTGCTCACCTCAAATTGCTGTCAGTTTTGCTCCCAGGTTAGAGTCAAACCAAATGATGTTAAAATTTATATTTGCTACTTCTCATCCAAGTATGCAGCATTTAGGAGTATCAGCAAGAAACTGGTTTCAGAGTCAAAATAATATGTAGGGGTAGGGTAAAATTTCTTCTAGCAGGTATCACATTAAAAATCAGGGCCTCAGTGGCCGAGTGGTCTAAGTAGTGGAACTACTGTATCACTAGCCTGTCAACACTGAGGTTGTGAGTTCGAATCCAGCACATGGTAGGTGCACAGTAACAGTACTCGACTCCAATTTTAATTGACTAGGATTGTCAGTTTTCCAAAGGTTGGTGGTTCTCTAAGGGCACTCCGGCATCCTCCACCAATAAAAAACTTAACGGTACTGCCACGAAATAGCACAATAGTGCTGAAAGTGGCTTTAAACAACAACCAATCAATCAATCAAATTAAAAAATCTCACTCAACATGTCAATCTAGTACAAAGCAATGTATGTGCATGTTATGTTTGCATTTGGGCATTAAACAGCAACCAATCAATCAATTGATTCAAAAAGTGGATGTAGAGAAAATTTTGATATAATAATAGTGGTACAGAGTAAGTGTGTGATTGAAAAGCCCTGTTTATACATCAATTATATCTGTAAAAATAACAATAATTACAACATAATTTCTATAGAATGCACTAAAAAAAAATTCATATCTAAATTCTTTAGTTCTTATAGATATCATATTAACATGTTGTAACTTTTGATTTGGTTGATGATTAACCTTGATATTAAACATCCCATCTATAATTTTTCATAATTTTAATTTCACAGCCAAAAATACAGATCTGTAGTAAATATGAAAGACATACAGACAATAGAAGTTACGGAGACAGAATGCAACTGTTTGAAGAATTTTCAAAACCCAAACCCCCACCAGAAATCATTAGACATGGTAAAGGTGGTCAGACGTCAGGTGCTGAAGATGGGGAGGAAGGAGGAGAAGAGGAGTAAAATTAATTGTCATGTCCATGACCTCAGCCTAGGGTCAAAGGTGAGAGGTCATTTTAATTTTTCAATATTTTAAGAAATTTTTTTGTGGTTGAAAGATGCTTGTACTGTATCTTATGCTGCATTGTGGGTCTTCAAATTCTTGAAAACTATTTTCTCTTATTCTTAGCTGATTTATTCTTTTCCTGACCTGTTCATTTTTTTTTTTTTTAATCAACTTGTGGTTCATTTGATCTCAGTTCTTCATTGGTCAAAATTCAACTATGACATCAAATTTTCTTGCTTTCCTTCAAATTTCTTATTGTGACGTATCGAAAAAAGTTGACCATGCCTGATGACATCACATAGAATTAACACATAATTTTGCAGCTCTTTGGGAAAGAAGGATTACGTTTGTCTATATATTGTCTAGAAATCATAAGGAGACACAGATTCCACCACAAATATGAATATCTAAATTTTGAAGCGTATATAAAATTGCAAGATATCATATAATCATACATATGTTTATTGTCAATGTACAGATATTATTATACTTATTACCAAACAGAAGTAAAAATGTATGGTACAATTATCTTTTATCATGTTGTAAATATTTATTTATTTTGATAGCATTATTACTGTCTACAATCTTGATCTTTTTTTCATAAAAAAAGATCACTTAAAAAATCAAGGCTCCAATCTTACTTTTTTGGTTTTGAACCAAAATAAAAAAGAACCCTGCCTCATCTGAAAAAAAATCAAAATTTAGCTTAAGAAGGTCAATATGTATTTTTGGGTTGTAGTTGTGCATGTTCACATCAGATATGCACATCTTGAATCATTGACATCATTACAGTGTATATACTGTGTATGCAATTAATTAGATAAATGCAATTCACAAATGATTTACAAAACACTCAGAGTTACTCCCCTTTGTATGTGAAAATAAGATTTAAGAATATGAAAACACTTAACACAATCATTTATCTTCAAAGATACAAGTTTTAAAATATAAATTACAGTGTTATTTTCTTTGATTTCAGATATATTCATTTCCTATAGATTCCTTGGAACGGCTAATAAAGACAGAATTGGGGATAAAGACAATTTGATATGAATTTATAATCTTTTTCTAGCATTGAATATTTATTGCAAACTTCTATTTATTTATTTATATGACACTGTAGTTGTTACAAGTAAGCATTAAAATTCATTGCTAGAGTTTCGTTAATTTTCAGTATTTATTAAAAATGATATCCTTTTAAAGGAATTAATTTATTTAATCTAATGTATTTAATTAGAAGAACTCTTGCCCTAGGCACTTTCTTGTAAATAGCTTGTCAATATTCTTTTTTATTATTTCCTAATTTAAAATAAATTTGTTAAATTTGAAATTTTGTGCAATAGACAATTTATAACGTTTCTTATCTATTTTCTTTTCAACAGAGAAATGTTATAAAATGAAGTCCATTATACCAATTGTGATCATTTTTGTCATCGTAAATGTGTGTTTTGGCAGGCCTGTCGCAACACCTATTTCAATGTCCTTATTTTGTGTGATACATCTTGGATAGTCTTATGTTAGAGAAATATTCATAATAAAAAGCTTTGACTATCCTTGAGTTTGTCTTTGTCATCTTTATTTTTCATGCTTTATGAATGGCTGGCGGAGTTCTCAAAAAGTGGCGGGCAGAAGGTTTTAACTACCAAAATTTTGCAAAGGACTGACACAATTTTAATATTTTGCAATAGAAAAAACAGTGAGGACCAGCAGATTTTCTTCAAGGACCCTAAGTGAAAAAATATTTTGAGAACTTTGGGCTGAAGTAGAGATTACAGTGGATTGATTTATTTACGTGGATACCAATTTTCGTGGATTGAGCAAAACTTGTATGTTCCAAGGTATTTGATTTCTTGGTATTGACACAATCGTGTGACACACAGTTTATAATTCTATTGTGGTGTCCTGGTGTACTGTCTTAAATTCATGGGAGGTGTCCGTTGTTATTCTGTGGTTTACATGTTGTATATAATGTACTATTATATTATTTATGTATTTCTCTGTCCTGAGTGTTCTTGCATTTATTTGTAATGTATTCTTGTCACGTAATGTTGTCATTTTAGCGGTATTTTTAACATTGCCATATAAGCGGGAGGTTTGGCTAGCCATAAAACCAGGTTCAACCCACCATTTTTTTCTTAAAATGTCCTGCACCAAGTCAGGAATATGGCAGTTATTATCAAATAGTCTGTTTCTATGTATGTTGGCGTTTGTTTTGTAGCAGTTCAGTGTTTCTATTGCTCCGTTGTTTTCCTCTTATAGTTGATGTGTTTCCCTCGGTTTTGGTTTGTGACCCGGATTTGTTTTCGCTTAATCGATTAAATTCTCCATACAAGCCTTTAGATGTGTGTTCTTTGTTGAACATTTAAATTAGTGGTTAACCTTTACCCACGAATTCCACCAAATTTTTTATCCCATAAATCATAATGTATCCACAGTTATAGATATTGCTCTCTTTATTTACAGATACTGTGGATTTATTATTATTCGATGGATATCATTTTTCGTGGATTTCGTGGCTACAGGTAAAGCTCAAGGGAGTAGGCCCGGTAAGACCCCTTTTTGGCCCCAAAATATAGCATTTTTACAATTTGTTTAAAATGTAAACTTTTAGCTATTAAATGGAATGTAGAATACTTAGGTTCATTAATATGACCCGTTTTTGACAATACACTGCACATTCATCAAGTACTGGCATCAGTAATTCATGATAAGGTTATCGAAATTCTTCACAATTTTAGCATTTGTGCTAATTTTTAGACTTTTTATACGACCGCAAAAAAATTTTGTGGTCGTATATTGGTATGACGTTGGCGTCGTCGTCGTCGTCGGCGGCGTCGTCGTCCAAGACACATTGGTTTTCGCACTCTAACTTTAGTTTAAGTGAATGGATCTTTTTGAAATTTGACCATAAGGTTAAATACCACAAAATGAAGGTTGGGATTGATTTTAGGGGTTATGGTACCAACAGTTAAGGAATTAGGGGCCAAAAAGGGGCCAAAAATAAGCATTTTCTAGTTTCCAGACAATAACTGTGGAACGGTGTATGGATCTCTCTGAAATTATACTACAAGTTTCCATACCACAAAGGGATGGTTAGGATTTGCTTTGGGGGGTTATGGCTCAAACCGTTTAGGAATTAGGGGCAAAAAAGGGGGAAAAACAAGGTTGTCCTGGTTAATGGACAAATACTTTAGTACAAAACATAATTTAAAGCAGTGTAAGGGAGATAAATCAAATACATCATTGAAATTATCTCCCTTACACTGCTTTTAAATTATGTATAAAGTAATGGTTAATGAACAATAAAGATAATTTAAAACAGTGTAAGGGAGGTAATCCAAATACAACGTTTTGGTTACTTCCCTTACACTGCTTTTAAATTATGTTTAAAGAAATGCATATTTATAAAGGAAGACCAGTAGAAATATCTGCAAATGTTGCATCTTTTTTTTTTACAAAAAAATCCATATGAAAGATTTGACACTATATTTTTAATTCTTTTATAAAATAGATTAAGTTAGCACTATGGTAAATTTAAATGGGTAATTATGGTTGCCAACTCCATTGGAAATTTGAATTGAGATTATGACCATATCTTGAGGGAAAGAATTGTTTGGGGAAAAAAAGGGGGGGGGGGATAAAAAGAAATTGTGGGGGGTCAATTTTTTCTCATTTCAGATTTCAGAAATTAAAAAGAATTATTCTTCAAATATTATGTTTTTTTTCAAATTTCAAATATTGAAAAATTTCAAGAAGTAATCTTTAATTGCACAGTATGGCACTTTAGATTTGTAAAATCTTTGATCACATTTATTTATTTGTTATGCCGAATCTAACAGTATATTTAGATTTTTAATTTTGGGTCCAGTTTTCAAATTGGTCTACATTAAGGTCCAAAGGGTCAAAAATTAAACTTTGTTTGATTTAAGCAAAAATTGAATATATGAGGTTCTTTGATATGCTGAATCTAAACATGTATTTAGATTTTTGATTTTTGGCCCAGTTTTCAAGTTGGTCCAAATTGGGGTCCAAAATTAAACTTTGTTTGATTTCAACAAAAATTGAATATATTGGGTTCTTTGATATGCTGAATCTAACCATGTATTTATATTTTTTATTTGTGGACCCCGTTATCAAATTGGTTCATATTGAGGTCAAAAGGGTCCAAAATTAAACTTTGTTTGATTTCATCTAAAATTGAATTATTGGGGTTCTTTGATATTCCAAATCTAACCGTGTATTTAGATTTTTAATTTTGGGTCCTGTTTTTTAAATTGGTCTACATTAAGGTCCAAAGGGTCCAAAATTAAACTTAGTTTGATTTTAACAAAAATTGAATTCTTGGGGTTCTTTGATATGCTGAATCTAAACACGTGTTTAGATTTTTGATTATGGGCCCAGTTTTCAAGTTGGTCCAAGATAGGGTCCAGTATGTAAACTTTGTTTGATTTCAACAAAAATTGAATATATGGGGTTCTTTGATATGCTGAATCTAAACATGTATTTAGATTTTTGATTATGGGCCCAGTTTTCAAGTTGGTCCAAATTGGGGTCCAAAATTAAACTTTGTTTGATTTCAACAAAAATTGAATATATGAGGTTCTTTGATATGCTGAATCTAACCTTGTATATAGATTTTTTATTTGTGGGCCCCGCTATCAAATTGGTTCATATTGAGGTCAAAAGGGTCCAAAATTAAACTTTGTTTGATTTCATCAAAAATTGAATTATTGGGGTTCTTTGATATGCCAAATCTAACCGTGTTTTTAGATTTTTAATTTGGGTCCCGTTTTTTAAATTGGTCTTCATTGAGGTCCAAAGGGTCCAAAATTAAACTTAGTTTGATTTTAACAAAAATTGAATTCTTGGGGTTCTTTGATATGCTGAATCTAACCATGAATTTAGATTTTTTATTTGTGGGCCCCGCTATCAAATTGGTTCATATTGAGGTCAAAAGGGTCCAAAATTAAACTTTGTTTGATTTCATCAAAAATTGAATTATTGGGGTTCTTTGATATTCCAAATCTAACCGTGTATTTAGATTTTTAATTTTAAGTCCCGTTTTTTAAATTGGTCTACATTAAGGTCCAAAGGGTCCAAAATTAAACTTAGTTTGATTTTAGCAAAAATTGAATTCTTGGGGTTCTTTGATATGCTGAATCTAAACATGTGTTTAGATTTTTTGATTATGGGCCCAGTTTTCAAGTTTGTCCAAGTTGGGGTCCAAAATTAAACTTTGTTTGATTTTAACAAAAATTGAATATATGGGGTTCTTTGATATGCTGAATCTAACCATGTATTTTGATTTTGGACATTGGACCATAATAGGTAAATTAAAAAAATTCAAGTTCTTAGACCACATTCTTTCTGTGTCAGAAACCTATGCTGTGTCAAATATTTAATAACAATCCAAATTCAGAGCTGTATCAAGCTTGAATGTTGTGTCCATAATTGCCCCAACTGTTCAGGGTTCGACCTCTGCGGTCGTATCAAGCTGCGCCCCAGCGAAGCATTTTATTTTGTCTAAAATGGAAGTGGCCACACTTGTGTTCAGTCTTAATATTTAAATACATGTTGTTTTTGATGATTATACATAACAGATATAAAGGTTGAGACTGAGCACTAATGCGGCCACTTACATTTCAGACAAAAATCATCTGAAATGTGATGTTTAATGGAATATTTGATAGATTCTTCATATTGAAGCTTGAATTTGAGCGTCTTTAATGACCAACTCAGTTCAAATCTTATATATAAACTAATTGAATCGAATGAAGTAGACACTTTAGTGTTTGACAAATGTCAAAAATCTTATACCAGATGTATTTCAAATTTTAGGCCAAAATTAGACCCTTACCGGACCTTCTCCTTTAAATGTTCATCTAAGTTCAAATTTTCTATAGGTTTGTATGCAGACTTTTTGTGAAAACACGAAATTAAATATCCACGAAAATACAATTTGTCCTTAATCCATGAAAATTGGTACCCACAAAAATATATGAATTCACACTAGTTTGATTGATTAAGGGCCTTGATGGATGAATGATGTAAGTAGTTCATCTAAAGTTGTTATTAGCCTGTCTGAGGTTGTGATTTCGAATCCTTGTTCTCAGTGAGTTGTTTTCAACACGGATCTTAATTGTCAAGAATTGGCATTTTTCCTGACATAGTTTGTGGTTCCCTCTGGTTACTCTGGCATTCTCAACCAATAAAAAATGGCCGCCAGTATATTGCCAAAGGGGGATTGAAGTGGCATTAAACACCAATAAACAAACAAAACGTTTCCATAGGAACAAAATAACCCTATCTAACCCAACAACTGTTGGTAATGTTCACCTTTCTCATAGTTTTAAAGTTGATTAAACGGTGTTGAGGCTTATAAATCAATGAGACAGCAAGCCCCAACGACAAAAAAAAGCACAAAACATCTAAGGTTAAACGTGGTCTTCAACAATGACAGAATGTCAAGTACTAAATCTTCCCTTGTAAAAGTTGCAAATAAATTTAACATAGACTAGCATAGACGTGTCATCAACAACAACATAGACTAGCATAGAC